TTGAAATCCTGCTGCTACAAAGATTCGCTCAAGAAGATCCATCATATCAGTTTGGGTAGACAAAGGAGCAGGGAGTGAGTGTCTTCATGGCTTCGAGATTGGCGCCACGTCGGCGGATTGGGTCGAAATCCGTCGACGTGGCTTGAAGTATGTGGCTGACAGCAGATTCATCCGTGCCATTTTACAGTTCGTGTCATTTACGGAACATCGCGGGACATGCTCGATGCACATGTGTAAACAAAGGCTTCGTCGGCGGTTTAAGTAACACATTGGCTTGGAAAGCTTGTGTGCTGTACACTGTGCCATGCAAGACTTGCTGAGAAGTGGAGGCGGCAGGAATCGGAATCCCCCCACCACCTGACAGTTGGCAAACAAACTTGTCCCACCGGCAATTCTGGTGGTTTTTCAAAAGTTGTTTCCATTTGCTGACCACTCTCTCCAATATTTAGCTTGAAGGTTCTCCCACAGGGACAAAGAACTGAAGGCGGTGAAAGTCAGAGCTTGAACATCCGCAAAGCGAAATCAGCCTTTCCTGCATCATGGAAAATTGTTATCTTCAGGGAGTGGGATGAATATTTCGGACTCGGTTCACGCAAATTTTCCAGGGGCCATGAATATTCTGTAGTTGGCCAAGTTTCTCTACCCAAATGCACCATATTCGGTAACAACTCCAGAAATATATCGTAATTCGAGGATAAGCCATTTTGTGCCGTGCACACAGCGCAACCAACAAAAGGACATCCGAGAATGTGCACGACAACCCTCGTTCCCTTCCCATCTTCATAAATATGAAAACGATTCACAAATGATGACGGAGATTTGGCGAGTTGCTGCTGCTGGAGGCAGGTGGGCGAGGGGGAGAGGCTGGGGAAAGCAAGAGGAGTAAGGGCGCGTGTGATTTTTTTTGGGGTTCGTATTTAAGGTCGAACTTTAGGTGGTAACCAGTTTCGCCAATGTTCGCAGGAGATTTCGCCAATTGTGACTCCAATTTCAAGAGTACCAGGTGCGAACATACAAATGTGAACAAGATTCGAATATATGCACAAACTTTGTGTAGCACACTGAACCGAACGTGTGTGGTTTCAGGCACTTACGAGGAACCAGCGAAGCTCGCGACTCTTTCGCGCTGTCAATAGAAGAATACCAGGTAACCTACACACCCTATAGGCGGCTCGGTCCCCCCCCTGTAAGCTCGAACCTGCAAATTCGCACTTTCGTGTGTGATTGTGAATCTACAAGCAAGGTCACCTGCGGTTCGAACATTGCCAATGCTCAAAGTCGAGTCATGTTCAAATGCTTAAATCGAGTAAAAAACATAAACTTATGGCAAAATAAAAAATCACACGCGCCCTAATTACCTCATTGAGCTCATTGAGCTCGATCACTCATTGAGCTCGATCACACGCGAGGTAAGTCACGTGTCCAGATCGTAACAAAGGTATCCTCTCATCGCCACCGTAGTAACCAATATGCCGCGGTGGTCAACATTATTGCCTGAATGGCAATAAACAGTGCATCCGGAATCCCTGACAGGTAACTTTGCGATTCAACCAAACTGTACACCGTACAAGTAGGTAATTGACTCAGCGAAAACAAACTGACTGCCCACATGCACTCCGCAAAATGCGCATTTCTGCTTAGGGCGTGGTGCATCATATGCAAGCGGGGTCCAATTCTTCGACCCCAGCGCGGGTAACCGTACTAATAAGATAAAAATGCGCGCAAATGTGCCTCTCAATATTAGGGCTGTACCGGGAAACAAAATGTTATGGAAGTCGGGGTCAAGCATTTGACATTCGAACGAACGAACCGCAGGGTCAACCAGTAAAGAAAAGTAACATGTCGTGTCATCGAGGGAGTTACGTGGAAAATTGCGATACACCCATACGAGTGCCGCAACACGCGTTAGCGAAAATATTGAATGAGCGCACCACCAAGTTCGTGGACGAAGCGCGTTACGTAACAGAAACTGGTAATCTTGGACCTCGGTTTACAGCTTACAGCTCAACACGTTGAACCTCCGTCGAGCCTGCAAAACGACCCCACGACGGATTGGACCCCATTTTGCATATGATGCACCACGCCCTGATAAAAGTGGCGTTTACAATCCCGCACGTGCAAACATCGATATGCTAATGGGTAATGGTTGAAAATAAAATCGAATGCATTACCTATCAAACAAATTCAACAAAAATAACAGACATACAATGTCAAACAGCAAAGGTATCCTAGTGATAAATATTGTGAAACATAGTATTTTACTCTACGAGACTTCTATTTACGAATATTAAGAATTTGAGCTAAATCAAGTTACAAAAATTCCAAAATATTTTTGGCTTTTTTTTTATATTACATAATTAGAAATTTGCATAGAAAAAATAAAATATAGATTGATATAACAAATAATACATTTGATTCATGATTGAAACTTTTTGAGTATGCTAGAAATAATTTTATCCAATTTTTTTAAATCATGATATTGGTCGGAACTTGATTTACATCATACGCTGAAATGATGGTTTAATTAATTCAATCTAACAATAAAAATGATCTTCTGAATGTTCTATTTTTTTTCTTTACAGAGTATCTATAAGATGCTTGCTATAATTTTGATAGTTAATTGTATCGCATACGTGCATGCGCTTGTAAGCTTCGTACATCAAACAGAAATGCGCATTCTGTGGGGTATACGTGGACAATCAGTTTCGTTTTCGCTGAGTCAATTACATACTTGGACGGAGTAGAATTTAGTTGGAACGCAAAGTTACCACCCAGGAATTCCGGATGCACTGTTCACTACCATTCAGGAAATAATGTTGACCATTGCGGCATGATGGTTACCACGGTGGCGATGAGAGGATATCTTTGTTACGATCTGGACACGTGGCTTACTTCGAGTGCAATCGAGCTCAATCAGTGTTACTGCGGAGGTAATTACCCAAGTAAGAGAGGAGAGGGTGAAGGAGGGAGAAGGATGTGAAGGGGAAAAGGGGAAAGAGAGAAGGGGAGGGAGTGGGGAGGGGGGGGGGTTGGGGGGGGGGGTGGGGGGAGGTGGGGGGAAGGAGGAGAAAGGGTGAGGGGCAATGGTATTGATTTAAATATGTTTTTGGGGCTTTTGTGTGAACCCGGGAGGAAATCAGGCCCTTCGACGCCGATCCACTAAGCGCGGAAGCGGGGCAACTGCTTCCATTTTTCCGCTCGATGTTCGAGCCAACCGCTTCCATTTTTTTCCACCAGGCAGGAACCCAGTCTACCGAACTAGCCCTTTCCCAAGGGGAGATGGATTCTCCATAGCTACTCGTGTTGCGGAGTGTAGGCACTTATGTGGCAGACTCTCAACCAGACAGGGCAGATACAACCAAATTCAGTGCTGATTTCACACTTGAAAAATTGCTGCTTTCTCGATTTCCGTGTTAAAAATTTCCCACCGTGCCGAAGATACAAAGTAACCGTCTTTCGGCCTTCCAGCAATACAATGCCCATCCCGCTCTCTTCCAAAATAAGCTAGCCGCATTCCACCCACCAGATCGAGGGACTCAGGCAAAATCGTTGTGGGGTTGTTGGTTTTGTTTGCGGGGAGCAGGGGGCACCCTGTTATCACGTGCGCGGTGATGAAGCCCCATTGATTTTCTCTGCTCAGCTGGTGATGATCTCATTGTTGTTGCGCGGCCGCTACATGCCCCCCGGCCACCCAGGAGGACGCGCACAGCTGGCTGGCAAACTGGCATCCCAGGCGTGGCCCACCCTGCCAGTCCCAAACCCAAACCGAGAGATTACCCGAACCTGAGTCGGCTTCTTGCCGCACCTCCTGATTCACGAGGGTTTGGCTGGATGGGGAAGTGCCCGTTCCATCCTGGCAGAGGTCAGATCCGAAGGTGATTGCCGATTGCTAGAAGTAATCAGGAAACTGCAACTGGCCTTTTCAAGCGAGTCTTGTGATTTGGTCCCACTGCAAGAACTTAGGACTGCCACAAACATCCTTGCCGCGTTCGACAGGAAAAGAGCTGTGAATGCGCCCACCCCATTCGAGTCGAGTAGCAGTGCCAGATGCGTCGTAGTAACACGGGAACTTGAAAACCTCTGGTCACGCAGCGTTAGTAATTGTCTGATCGCACCGCCGCCGCTTCAATCTAGTAGTGATACACCGCGAAATGCGGATACGGAAACGGCTTGCTCAACTAGCCGCCGCCGGCGGCGGGGTTTACTACAGCCCCAGTGGCAATGGCGCCATTGCAGCCTGCAACACTCGCGATCTTTCATCGCCGGCGATTCCGGTGGATGATCGGGAAGTTCCGCTGGAAGCAGCAGCCGCACGCGTTCGTCTAGAAAACCAAACCTCTCTTCACTACTACGTGACGCCAAATCAGCAAGACTGCGCCGCAATTTCTGAAAAGCAGCACCGTGAATCCGAGAGATCTCACGACCAGCCTGGGGCGGCGTTATCACGGCACGTGCCACCGCCAGCATCATACCGTCGTGATGATGGTGGTACTACCAGCGATCCAGGAAACCCTACCATGTTTCGCAATCATCATCATCATCATCATCAACATCCGTCCAGCAGTTCTGGAAGCCACATCGCGGACGTCACTCATCCACATCATGCTCATCGGCAGAGCGGGTAAACACCCCAGTGCAGTCATGCAGATTGGATATTCATATTGCAGAAAACTCCAGATTTGATATTGCAAGCGGCTGTGAGATCGGTCGACGCGGCCTTCTTTTCTTGAGTCAACTCAAATTTGGTCCTACAAGCGGCGCTGGGTGTGACAGCTACGTCGAACCCTCTCCCAACGTCTCCACCTTGTCTCTCAGTACAGTTCTTGCATTGATATAGGCGTAAGATACAGACTTTGTCTCTCTCAAATGGTCCTTTGCATTGATTCACTGATTCATTGATTCCTTGATTCATTGATTCATGGCGGTATACAGACAACGAGGTGAGTTCAATCAAGCAATGCCTTGTCTTTAAGGGCATCCTACTCCCGTCATAGCTACCTATGCCGTCTGGGGGAGCCCCACCGCGCTCCAGTACGGCGAAGCAGCCCCCGAGGGACATGGCTTCTTCCGGGTTCTCACCTTCCCCCCATCCCTCCCTCTCAAACGGTCGATGTATCCCTCTCTCCCTCCCTCCCTCCCTCCCTCCCTCCCTCCCTCCCTCCCTCCCTCCCTCCCTCCCTCCCTCCCTCCCTCCCTCCCTCCCTCCCTCCCTCCCTCCCTCCCTCCCTCCCTCCCCAATCCCCTCCCTCCCTCCCCAATCCCCTCTCTCCCCCTCCACCTCCCCTCCCTCCCTCCCTCCCTCCCTCCCTCCCTCCCTCCCTCTCCCTCCCTCCCTCCCTCCCTCCCTCCCTCACTCCCTCCCTCCCTCCCCAATCCCCTCCGTCCGTCCGTCCGTCCGTCCGTCCGTCCCTCCGTCCCTCCCTCCCTCCCTCCCTCCCTCCCTCCCTCCCTCCCTCCCTCCCTCCCTCCCTCCCTCCCTCCCTCCCTCCCTCCCTCCCTCCCTCCCTCCCTCCCCCCCCCTCCCTCCCTCCCTCCCTCCCTCCCTCCCTCCCTCCCTCCCTCCCTCCCTCCCTCCCTCCCTCCCTCCCTCCCTCCCTCCCTCCCCAATCCCCTCCCTCCCTCCCTCCCCAATCCCCTCCCTCCCTCCCTCCCTCCCTCCCTCCCTCCCTCCCTCCCTCCCTCCCTCCCTCCCTCCCTCCCTCCCTCCCTCCCTCCCTCTCCCTCCCTCCCTCCCTCCCTCCCTCCCTCCCTCCCTCCCTCCCTCCCTCCCTCCCTCCCTCCCTCCCCAATCCCCTCCCTCCCTCCCTCCCCAATCCCCTCCCTCCCTCCCTCCCTCCCTCCCTCCCTCCCTCCCTCCCTCCCTCCCTCCCTCCCTCCCTCCCTCCCTCCCTCCCTCCCTCCCTCCCTCCCTCCCTCCTTCCCTCCCTCCCTCCCTCCCTCCCTCCCTCCCTCCCTCCCTCCCTCCCTCCCTCCCTCCCTCCCTCCCTCCCTCCCTCCCTCCCTCCCTCCCTCCCTCCCCAATCCCCTCCCTCCCTCCCTCCCTCCCTCCCTCCCTCCCTCCCTCCCTCCCTCCCTCCCTCCCTCCCTCCCTCCCTCCCTCCCTCCCTCCCCAATCCCCTCCCTCCCTCCCTCCCTCCCTCCCTCCCTCCCTCCCTCCCTCCCTCCCTCCCTCCCTCCCTCCCTCCCTCCCTCCCTCCCTCCCTCCCTCCCTCCCTCCCTCCCTCCCTCCGTCCCTCCGTCCCTCCCTCCCTCCGTCCCTCCTTCCCTCCCACCCTCACTCCCTCTCTCCCTCCCTCCCCCCCTCCCTCCCTCCCTCTCTCCCTCCCTCCCTCGCCCCCTCCCTCCCTCCCTCGCTCCAAGGCGGGCGCGCGCGCACACACACACACACACCCGCGCGCACACACACACACACACACACACACACACCCGCGCGCACACACACACACACACTCACACACACACACACACACACACACACACACACACACACTCCCCTCCCTCTCACTTCATCCTTCTGAGAGAATCTCAAGGCGCCTCTGTTGGGATGTCTCAGACGTTTATGGGCGGGGTTGGGAGGGGGAGGGAAGGGGAGGGAACGGGGGATGCTGAAGTCTTATGTCTGCCAGTGCTGCTATTAATACTGAGCCTAAGCATCAAACGCAGCAGATGTGTACTGAATCGTGACTTTGCACCACACGTGCTGCTTTCACTGCTCGCCCTTTGCACGGGAAGTTGTACCATATTGTGTTGGGGAGTGTTGGGGTGCGGAGGAATGTGTGGTGAAGCTGTTAAGAAGAGTGTGTCTTGGAAGAGAGGAATGTGCCGGGTTATGTGGTGAACGAGGGCTTTTAGAAGCTCCTTTCGTGCATGTCTTAATCATCATGCTCCTTGCTTCTTCGCTGAACAGCCTACCATTATCTAGTTTTGAGGCGCCTCAAAACTAGACATGATGTAAGCCTGCATAAGCTCGTGCATATTAATGCATTCAAACGATATCACATTGTGGTGAAACATGCAGCGCAGTTTCAATTCAGCCATCCATCATGTTACTACTGACAGCGCTTCCCACATTGAGCACCCTTCATGGGTCTGCAGACTCTGCCGGCACCAGCGGTTCCGGCGCTGTGAAGAGGTTACTAGTATGCTTGGTCATGCTTTTTATGCTTGGTCATGCTTAGTATGCTTGGTCATGCTTAGTATGCTTGGTCATGCTTAGTATGCTTGGTCATGCTTAGTATGCTTGGTCATGCTTTGTATGCTTGGTCATGCTTAGTGTGCTTGGTCATGCTTAGTGTGCTTGGTCATACTTAGTGTGCTTGGTCATGCTTAGTGTGCTTGGTCATGCTTAGTATGCTTGGTCATGCTTAGTATGCTTGGTAATGCTTTGTATGCTTGGTCATGCTTTGTATGCTTGGTCATGCTTTGTATGCTTGGTCATGCTTTGTATGCTTGGTCATGCTTTGTATGCTTGGTCATGCTTTGTATGCTTGGTCATGCTTAGTATGCTTGGTCATGCTTTGTATGCTTGGTCATGCTTAGTATGCTTGGTCATGCTTTGTATGCTTGGTCATGCTTTGTATGCTTGGTCATGCTTTGTATGCTTGGTCATGCTTAGTGTGCTTGGTCATACTTAGTGTGCTTGGTCATGCTTAGTGTGCTTGGTCATGCTTAGTGTGCTTGGTCATGCTTAGCTTAGTGTGCTTGGTCATGCTTAGTGTGCTTGGTCATGCTTAGTGTGCTTGGTGTGCAGGTCCGTGCTCTATGTGATTAAATGTTTCTCACCTCCATTCACACTGTGGTGCGTCCCTCCTCCCCTCCTTCCGCCATACTAAGCTCCTCCAGGTGCAGCCTTAACTGATAGCAGCAGCACCCTCATCACCTCAAGGGCCTTTTCGTGGTCGATTTGAGGGCCTCGGAAGAAGTGTTTTGGCCTCACAGTGTTACAATCATCTGCATTCCCCCTGCTGCCCCATGGCCATCCCCTTCCATGCGCAGCCATCATTATCACCAGCAGCAGCAGCAGCAGCAGCAGCAGCAGCAGCAGCAGCAGCAGCAGCAGCAGCAGCAGCAGCAGCAGCAGCAGCAGCAGCAGCAGCAGCAGCAGCAGCAGCAGCAGCAGCAGCAGCAGCAGCAGCAGCAGCAGCAGCAGCAGCATCACCACCTCAGGTCTTATTGTGGTTGTGTCTGCAGGTCGCAACGTCAATCGTCGCCATTCAAAACTACTGCAAACCCCCCATTCCTCTCTCCCCCCTTTCCACCCCCCACCTTCTGCCTTACCATGTCCCTCTGTGTGCAGCTACAATGACGACCATCAGCATCACCATCATCACCAATTTCACCTCGAGAGTGGGAATCACAACCGCAGCTGTCCAGATCAAGCTTGTGCCTGCCATGACCCTCTGGCATGCCCGTCTAACGCCTCTCGCAACCATCCGTTACTCCAAGGCGTGACACAGGCTTCTGCACCAATCGCATCAGCAACATTTGCAGCAGCAGTTGCAATAGGAGCGTCTGCAACAGCAGTGGTATTAGCGGCACCTGCAGCAGCAGAGTTGGCAGGCTCAACACCTGCTGAAATGGCAGATTCAGCAACAGAAGCAGAAACAGCACCACCAACACCAACATTACCACCACCACCACCATTACCAGCAGCAGCAGCACCACCACCACCATTACCAGCAGCATCAGCACCACCACCACCATTTCCAGCAGCAGCAGCAGAAGCAGCACCACCATTACAACCAGTAGCAGCAGCAGCTCCGGTAATTGCACAGACTGCAGCATCAAGATCACCAGCACCTGCTACAATGGAACATGCAGACCCACAGCTGCAAACATTGCCCCGGGAACTAACACAGCCAGCCCAAGCAAATGCTGTTGGGGCAGAAAGGCAGCAGCATGGGGCAGCAGTAAAGCGCAGGGGGGGCCTTTTGAGTCGACTCAAAAGTCAACTTACACAGCCAGCCCAAGCATATACGGTTGGGGCAGAAAGGCCGCACCATCAGGCAGCAGTAAAGCGCAGGGGGGGGCGCCCAGGGCGGGTCAACATGAAGCTTCTCAAGGACCTTGTCTCACCCGAGCCTGCGTCGCCCGAGCCTGCGTCACCGGAGCCTGTCTCACCCGAGCCTGCCTCACACGAGCCTCCCTCACACTGGCCTGGCTTGCACGATTCCCCCTTACCCGAGGCGGGAACTAAAATCTCTGCAGATTCAGCAGAAACCCCGCCGCTCCAATCCCCATCCACCATGCGTGACAAACTGAGAAAGCTGCCTTCCATTCAAACGCTTCAAGGTGAGCCTCACGCCCCACCACTCCACCCACCCTCACCCCAGCCTGTCGGTGCCACACCAAGCAAGCGCCCCCGGAGCGTCAGAGCCAGAGCTCCCAGCAGGCGCCACACCCATATAGCCCAGCTCCTGGTGCCCCCTGATTTGCCCTTTGTGTCGACTGAAAAGCCACCTCGAAGCCACAGAGCCAGAGAGAGAGCCTCTAGCAGGCGCCGCAGACAGGCAGCCCAGCAGCTGCTGCTTTCCCCTTCTCTTACCTTGCCTCGAGTGCATTGCGCCTCTGATGCCGTCGCAGGAGATTGTGAGAGCCGGGGTGGAGAGGAGGAGGGGGAGAAGAGAGGTGGGAGGAGAGGGGAGAGGAGGGGTGAGAGGAGGGGTGAGAGGAGGGGAAAGAGAGGTGAGGGACCGGTAGGGAGGGGCATTGGGGATGGAAAAAATGGTGGGGTCATGGAGTGTATTAGAGATGGGGATGGGGAGGGAAATGAGGGGCGTGATGGGGAGGTTGCAGAGGAGTTGATAGGTGCATTTTATGATGACTTGAGTGATGAAGGCTGGGTCAGCGAGGCTGCTTGTAACGAGGATAGCAGCAGTGATTACAGCGAAGGCGCTGTGAGTGGGATCAGTGAGGAGGGCGAGGGAGACAGCGAGGACAGCGCTTTTGAACTGGGAAAGCTGGGCAAGCGCAGGAGAGAAAGGGCTACACGCAGACATTCCGCTACCAGGAAGAAGAGTCAGCAAATAAAAGCCACCACGAGAAAGAAGGGAGATGGTTCTATACTGAGAGCTCAAGCCCCTGGGAGCAATATTCCTGAGGGCAATACTCTTGGCAATAATACCCCTGGGGGAGAATTTACGCAGTCCGTGACACGGCATTGCAGTCGCACGGATGGCAAGGGGTGGGTGTGCACGAGGATTCCGAGGCTGGGATTCTCGCTGTGCGATCACCACATTGGGAAAGCGGCGAAGCTCGTGGCAAAAAAGCGGGAAGAGAAGCTGGTTGCAGCTGCTGGGGACATTGAGGAAAGGGAGGAAGGGGGGAGGGACTGGGGGGACGGGGAGGAAGGGGAGGAGGACGGGGAAAGGTCTGATGGTGGAAAGAAGGGTGAAATGCAGAAGGGTGGAAAGAAGGAGTGGAAAGTTGACAGCTCTCAGAGTTATGCCAAGGATAGGGAGATGAGGAGGGTAAGGAGAGTGAGACACCAGAAGCACAACTGCTGAGGTTATATTGAAGAATACAATCCTGTGTTACTTAATAATAGTTGAGTCATCGAATCTGGGGGCATGGAATGTGGTCATATGCCAGGAAAATACCGAATACCTTCCCTGCTTCAGGAATAAAAATAAAAGATCGCGTTCAGGTCAGACTTCCCACCCACCGAGTTGAAGCGGTCAGACTTCCCTGCCTTTCCCCTCCTTCTCCCTGCCCCCTCTCCCTCCGTCCTCTCCCCCTCAAGCTCCATCGTCACTGAATTTAACGGTGACTCAACATACGCCAATGGCCTTCGGTGCAACCGAAAAGCCGAAAAGCACAGGGAAGGGATGGAGAGGGGGTGAGGGAGGGAGGGGAGGAGCCGGGGCTTTAGTGTCAAAGTGGATGTTGATTGAAACAAGGAAGCCCCAGCATGTGCATTGTGCACCATGTGCAGGAAATGTTGCACTCTCTGAACGCTTGCAACAAGCCACCATCCAAGGTGGGCTTCTCTAGCAACTACCTCCTCCTGAGTCCCATTGATATCCACCGAATAAAAGTGGTTACCATGCTACAGCAAAGAAGGGTGTAACACACTTCGAGCCCCGTCACTTTCTTGTACCACACACCAGGATTAATGCTCGGTAAAGCAAGAGCAATATGGTGTTTTTTTTCTAGCGAACGGTTGGCTGATGTGTTGGTGGTGGTGGTAGCAGCCGAGGCCGATGTAACGAGAGACGTGTACTACCGGTAAATGAAGGATGCTGCTGCGAAATCTGGTTTGATCTCTAAATGGTTTGTGTTGTGACACCATGTCAAGACCATGCTTGTTTGTGGCCCTCAGTGATGTGAAGCACCTGGGGGCATTTGTCTCCTTGGTTAAGGGCTTACACAAAGTGTTAATTTCAAAACGGTAGAACTTCAAAGGCGATCATTAAGCACCGTGACGCCCTGTCTGTTTCTCTGTGCGATTGAACTTCTTGAATGAAAAGCGAGGTGCAGAGAGCTAGGTTCAACCCATTAACAACATAGCATGTGTGGTGCAGTGCAGGCCTCTGGATAGGATTTGAGTTGGTCTTTCCTGTTGGAATAACCAAAAGGTTATCATAACATTCCCGAAGGCTCTCCACCAACGCGCCACTCCATAACGAAGCAGCGCGACTGTACTAGTACCGCAATAGCTCATATAGAGCATGCGGAAGATCGGGAGTCACCCGAAGGTCAACAGTCGAAGTCAGACAACGATCGTGACCCTTGACCGTCTAGTAACCGCACTTGGTAGTTACGCGACGCAACATGGTAACTGTCAAGAAGGGCAATAGTCGTGGTTACTGTAGCAATGCAATTCAGTTAATAAGGGAATGTACCCGTCAGAGTACATGGCTAGCTAGTTTGCTATTTATACCCTTTTACTCTTATCTTATAATCATCTTGTTCTCTTTCAACTTTATTAACAAGGTCACCATCAAGACTTCATTGTCTTCTCTCAACTTAGCAGTCTTATCCTATCCATTTCGATTGCCGGTTTTTGTTAGAATATATTTCTGTATAACTGCATGTAGTTCTAGCTGTAGTGTAGTTCTATTGCTGTCCTGTTAGGTGGTGCACCCTTTGGCTTGCTATAACTTGTAACTCTTCTCATAGTGAACACACATTCTCGTTCCTCGTTTTGGTCAACACCTTCGACCTTCCCCTCGTTACTCTCGTCCTAGCTAAATACTAGGCTACTAAGTCTACTAAGTTCAGAACCTAATTTAACATGGTATCAGAGCTGGTCCTTCCCAGGACCTAATTTTCATGGGCCCACCAGTCGCGCTGCCCGTCATGCAGCACCCGTGCCCGTCACGCGCCCCGAGCGCGTGGCGGTTTCTGCCCGTCGCACGCCCCGGGAGTGTGGCGGTTTCTGCTCGTCGCACGCCCCGGGCGTGCGTCGGTTTCTGCCCGTCGCACGCCCCCAGCACGCGACGGTGTTCTGCCCGTCGCTCGCCCCCGGCGTGCGACGGTTTTCTGCCCGTCGCGCGGGGGCCCCGTCGTAGTGCTTCCCGTCGTCCCCGCCACCCACTTCCTCCTCCCTCTCCTGCTTCGCGTGCAGCAGTTTTTGGGGGGGGGGGAGGGTGTTGGGGGGACGCAGGAGTGGCGGTGGGGGGTGGTTGCACCTCCAGCGCCCCGCTGCCCTCCTTCGTCACCAATCCAGCAGCCCCCCCCTCCGCCTCTACCTTCCCCCCCCTGCTGCTCCTACTGCAGCGGCGGTTTATGCCCGGCGCCTCGTGCGCCCTGCCCGCCCGCGCCCGTCCTACCAGATCGCGAACCTCGCCCCCCCTCCCTTCTCTGCCCTCTCCCTACTGCGTGTGCAGCAGTTTGGGGGGAGGCGGAGGTGGCACCAACGGCACCACCCTGCCTCCTCTGTTTCACGGCCGCACCTGCTGCTGTGGGGGGGAGGGTGGAGTGGTGGGAGTGGTGGGAGTGGCGGGAGGAGCTACTGCCGCTGCCGCTCGCCTTCCCCTCTCTCTCCCTGCTGCGCGTGCAACAGTGGGGGGGTGGGTTTGGGGTGGCGGGTGTGAGCACCCAGCTGCCGCCCCTCCTCCTCTCTCTCTCACTGCCGCACGTGCCGCTGTGGGGGGGAGGGTAAGGGGGTGGCGGGCTTCTGGCCGCTGTGTGAAGGCTTGAGCAGGGACCACCGTGGGTGGGGAAGGCGTTGGAGGAAGGGTGGGGGGGAAGGTGTGAGGTTCCAGGGGGCGGTTGACAAGGGGGGTGAGGTTGAGGGGGGTTGGCTGAAAGGGGGCGTGGAATTAGGGGGTTAGTAAGAGGGGCTCGCCGCGCTAGGCTCCCCCCCACCTCCTCTCCTCCCTCTCTCACCCTCCCCCCTTTGTAAAACGGGGGTTTGTAAGAGGGGTTCAGCACGTGGCTCCCCCCACCTCCTCTCCTCATCCCTCTCTCACCCCCCCCCTTTTGTAAAACGGGGGTTTGTAAGAGGGGCTCGCCACGTGGCTCCCCCCACCTCCTCTCCTCATTCCTCTCCTCTCCCCTCTCTCTCTCTCTCGTCTCCTCCTCGCATTCCTCTCTGTTGTCTTCCGCTGCGCAGGGTGTACCCCTTTAGGAGGTGTTATGCACATGGCTATTCCTGCATGCAGTTAGGGGGTGTGTCAGAATATATTTCTGTATAACTGCATGCAGTTCTAGCTGTAGTGTAGTTTTATTGCTGTCCTGTTAGGTGGTGCACTCTTTGGCTTGCTATTACTTGTAACTCTTCTCATAGTGAACACACATTCTCGTTCCTCCTTTTGGTCAACACCTTGGACCTTCCCCTCGCTACTCTCGTCCCAGCTAAACACTAGGCTACTTAGTCTACTAAGTTAAGAACCTAATTCAACAGTTATAACAACATAGTATCAGAGCATTTGGTGTCCTTGCCTTACGCTCACGAGCAACAGGGAGTAGCAGAACGGACAAACAGGAGCCTCGCCACAAGGATGAGGGCCCTGATGAAGCAGTCTGCCATCCCAACAAAGTTTTGGCCGTTTGCAATGAACCACGCTGTTCGGCTGCACAACTTGCTATCCTCCTGAAGTCTCGAGAACAACACCTCTCCTTACAAGGCGTGGACGGGCAGAAAAGCTGACACGCGCCTTCTTCGGGTGTTCGGCTGCATGGTACAGTACATGCCACACACAGCAAGGACCGGAAAGTTTGCTGACCGGGCATGCTGGGGCATTCATCTCGGGATCAAAAAGGAATACAAGGCGTGGATCGTGCTAGACTACGCGATACACGAAGTGACAAAATCACGTAATGCATCTTCTATGAGAAGCTTGTCAGATTTATATGACTTAGCTGCTGTAGGCTATAGTGGGGTAGCACATATGGGGTACAGCTTTTTAGGGTTTGTACTTGTACCCAACTTTCCCTTAGTCATTTTCATTCCTCGTTCATTTTCACATGGTATAGAGCAGGTTCCCCTGTGGGAACTGTTCCTAGGGCCCACCAAAATTTTTTTTTCCTGCCCGGAGCGCGCTCAGCCTCTGCCCGAGTCGCGCTCCCCTCTCACGGCCCCGTCGCGCCGCCCTTACGACCCCGTCGCGCCGCCTCAGCGGCCCCGTCGCGTCGCGCCTCCCTAGCGGCCCCGTCGCGTCGCCCTTGCGACCCCGTCGCGCCGCCCTCGCGGTCCCGTCGCGTCGCGCCGCCCTCGCGGCCCTTTCGCGCCGCCCTCGCGGCCTCCTCGAGCCGCCCTCGCGACCCCTCCACGCCGCCCTCGCGGCCCCGTCGCCTACCCTTGCGGCCCCGGCGCCACCCTTCCCGGCCCCGGCGCCGCCCTTCTCGGCCCCGGCGCCGCCCTTCCCGGCCCCGGCGCCGCCTCTGCTGGCCCCGGCGCCGCCTCTGCTGGCCCCGTCGCCCCACCCTTGCGACCCCGCGGCCCCACCCTTAAGGCGCCGGTCGCCACCCTTCGTGGCCCCGCCGCCGCCCTCAGCGGCCTCGTCGCCGCCCCACCCGGCCCCGCCGCCGTCCCCACGCGGCCCCGCCGTCACCACCGAGCCGCCGGCGCCGCTGAGCCGCCGATCTACCGAGCCGCCGCTGCTGCCGAGCCACCCGAGCCGCCCGAGCCGCCGAGCCACCTGAGCCGCCCGAGCCGCCGAGTCGCCGAGCCGCCGAGCTCCAGTTGCTGCCGAGCCGCCGTGCCGCTGAGCCGCCCGAGCCGCCGAGTCGCCGAGCCGCCGAGCTGCAGTTGCTGCCGAGCCGCCGAGCTGCCGAGTCGCCCGAGCCGCCCTGTCCGGTAAGAGCGGCACCTCTACCACTGCGCTGCCCTTACCCTACTGCTCCAGCTGCTAGTCTACTGCTGTCATGGCTACCCCCAGTGTCCTCGCTTTTGACGCTGAGGGTCGGGCCATTGACTTTGACGTCTGGGTAGATGACCTGCAGCTTTTCCTACAGTGCGACAGGGCAGACGGTCTCTCTCTCTTTGACCTCACTTCTGGTGCCTCTTCTGCCCCTGCTGCCGATGCTGACGCCACTGTTCGCTCACAGTGGGCCACAC